ATCCATTGAAAAGTACTAACCTACAGCAATTTTAAAGGTCTATGGATATCAGTCATGAACCTGTGGAGGGGGATATCTTGTCACAATATTGCATTTGAAAGTAATAAAATCTGCTCAGTTGCTGCTCTGCTGTGGTTCAATAAGCTGCATTTACAGTGATCATTTCCCTGATTTGCCTAAACTAAAATGTATCCAAGGGTATAACTGTATTTACCAGCACAGTCTGCTGTACCACTGAACACAGACTCAGCCCCATCACAGCTTTGGTCATGGAACAGCCAGGACATCTCCCTGGTGTGTGGGGAGCTGAATCCAATCTGCCTGACAGCACAAGTACTGACGAAGGAAACAATACTGTTCTCCTTCAGCCTGCTTGTGAGCACTTATGCCACTTATTGTATAACTTATAGCAAAAAATCCAAGTATTTTATTTCTCTAAAGACAGGCTAATTTGCATTAGTTTGGGCATCTTCTGTCGCTCCTGGAGTCAATTTTGTAGTTTTCAAAGGTGGTTTAGGAAAATATAACTGCCTCTTGGTGATAAATCAGTGCCACCTAGGGGCTGAGAGCTGGAAGGAGATTCAGTGTACAAAATGCTAATTGCAGCCAGGGGACGACAGGAACGAGGGACAGGAAAAAAGGAAATAGTGGGTAAATTTAGCTGATGAAATTTTTGGGAAGCACAGTATGAAGATACAGAAATCCCTGCCCCCAAACAGCTTCACCTTCCCCTTTCTCGGGGAGTGGGAGGGAGGACAGGTGGTCTCTCTCTGTGACACTGCATTTGCTTTGTGAAATAAGCTGTGCAGGAGGTGAGCTCCTGAAGGCCGGTTCAGGTAAACTGCGGCCAGAACTGTGAACTGGGGCAGGCTTACTGGGAATGGGAACGTGCAGGAGGATATGGGTGCTCAGCTGCATCCAGACATTTGCGGCTCTTGGTACTCAAAAGTGTTATACATTCAAGGAGCATGCTTATAAAGAAATGAACGTTCTGAGCAGCTTTGGGATCACACCTCTAGAAAATTATGACCTAAGCTCAATGATTTTTCCCTCTATATTTTTTTATCTCTTTCTTAAAGCTATTTTAATATCCTGTTTCTACTATATTTGTGAGAAAAATCTGAGGAAAGAGAATTTACATAGAAAATGCATGCTCTGTGTCAGGAATAACAGCAGGAACTGGAGTCCCCACTCAGTGCCTTTCTAAATAACTTGCCTTTTCACTCCCTCTGGTGGTGTAAACGTTTTGTGAGGAGGTACAAGTTCTGTAAGTACTCAGCATGATCTTAGTAATGACTTGATAGTTTGTTGGTATAGAAGAAAACGGGAAAAAAGGAAAATCTCCAGCAAGTATGCAAGAGGGTTTTGTTTTTCTTTTCCACTGAAGGGGAAAGAATTTGCTTATTTTCTCTTATACAAGAGACAAACACTGAATAATTGCCTTTGGTTGTAATTATGCTTTATCACAGAATCACAAGCATTGGAAGGGAACTCAAGAAATCATCAAGTCCAACCCCCCTGCTAGAGCAGGTCACACTCTAGTGTGGTAGATCTAGTGTGGTCTAATCTGGTAGGCATCCAGATGGGTCTTGAATATCTCCGTAGAAGGAGACTGCACTGCCTCTCTGGGCAGTGAATAGCAGAATTATACAGCTTTCTCTATTGGCCACTGTGAAACTACTTTAAAATAAAGTGGAAAGATTGAGAGGGTTGGGGACCTCTCTGATTGGCATGGGCTCGTCTGCCACGAGCTGTTCTTACTATGCTTATTGTTTATACACACAGAGCCTGGAGTATTCCTTTCCTGAACTGAAGTGCAAGGGTTTGGCTAAGACTGTGTGGGCCTCCTCCTATCTATCTGCAGTATCAGCAGTAGGTCACACAAAAAATTTCTACTGTGAGGAAAATTGACTTATTTTGTATTTTGTTTATATTCATAAATACATCTTCACAGCAACTGTGCTGTATCAAGATGTGATACTACTGAATTTCATTATAGCTGGTTAAGTATGGGCTGAACAGGAGCATAAATCCTTCCCCTGTAAAAGAAGTACAAAGACTTGTGGGCTACAAATTTTGCAGAGATGTTACCTCTAGTGCTGCTGTGGTAGTCAAAGGTTGGCTTCTAGAGAGCACTACATTGTCCTTGCTGACAAGCAAAGCCAAACATCTGACCTCTCCCTCTCTTGCTAAATGCTAGTTTTGGCGATGTTTGGACTCCTCCAGAATGTTCTGTTTCCCATTGAAACAGAGCACACAGTAGAAGAAAATACACGGATTGCTTGCTTTAATATTGAAGCTCTGCAAATCAGAGGAGGCCTTACTTACCCTTTGGCATTTCCCAGGCTGTCCAGCTTCACCTTTACTCCTATACACAGCTGCCAAACTGCAGTGCCTGAAGCTGAATCTCAGACATCCCTGTGTCACAGGAAAACCCCAGGCTTTTGGGGAAACACTGAATTCTTCTCAGCTGGTCAATCTGCTATTAAGGATGAGAAACAATTTATGAAAGGATTGTATTTACCACAGGTGATGCTATGTTTGCATTTTTCTGTTTTTGATGAAAAAAAAAAAAAAGACAGACAATGGAAAACATAAGAAATGTGGCAATTTATGACACTTCCCATATTTTCATGTGTGGGAGAAGAGGAACTGAGTATCAGAAAGATAAAGAGGCTGACTGCTGATATCAACTGACCATCTCAGAAATGCATTTAATATGTGTGTGAAGATCAAGTTTTGCAAAAACATATTAAAAAACACCTTAATAATCTGTAGCATTTCTACCGTAAATAGAAATCCCAGCTGGTGATAAGGCAAATGTGTAGCAGCGTTATCAACATTTTCAGGTGATGGATATCAGGAGCAGTGCTAAATCTGTACCACTCCTTCTAAGGTGCTTGTTTTGCTAAAAAGAACACAAACACAGCAAAAACAAATACCCTGCAAACATACTTCACCTGCATTCTTTAATTTTCAGGGAAGGATCCGTAAGCAATGAAAATAATCTTGAAAAATATCTTTTCATTGAATGTTGTTTAGTATCAAAACAGCATGCAAAATTCACACTAGTAATGTTGTGGACATGACAGTAGAGTGCTGTGAGCACAGACTGATAGCCTGAATGAAGACAGACTTTGTTCTTTGTTCCATGCAGTTTAATATGCCAGAAAGTACATCATGCAGAGGAAAATGCTGAGATACAAAGACCATCCTGCACAGCAAGTGGTTGACCAAAGAGAGACATCATTATGAATTACAAGCATAGCTGAAACAACAGTCAGTTGAGGGGAAAAGACCACCCCTTTCTTTTACCTTTCTTAGCAGGCAGCAAGATGAAGCCAGGACAACAGTTCCTGCAGCACATTCGTTCTCAACACTTTCTGGACATGCTCTGACAAAGGACAGCTTCTGTACCTGGTAGAAATCAATCGCGTGCTCCCCACTGGCTTCAGTGAAGTTGAATTAGACACAGTTGTTCCCCAAAGTAATCCTTCCATTTCCATTACATCTGGAATGGGTTTTGAAATGAGCACTGGCTGCTTCACAGAATGTTAGTAAGAGGAAATGATTTAATCATCAACACAGTTACATGATATTATAATATATCAGAGTTTGTAAAATTGCTGCAATCTGAAAGTGAAATTCTTGTTTGGGGTCTTTAAAGGAACGATGTGATAAACATTTCACATGTCTATAGCAGACCATTAGGCTGCAGCAGTGGGAAGGGACATGCTGCTAAGGACTCTCAGGAGGCATCTGAAAATCTGAGCATGAGCTGCACAGGTCTTTGTGGTCCTCCTGAAACCCATTCTCCTTTCCCATGTAAGTGAAAATGCAATTCTTTAACTACGTTTCTCTGCCCCTCTTTACTCATAGGTAAAAGTACAAGGAAGACCATTAAGATGAGAAAATACTAAGAGACTGCAACTATTTTCACAGTATTCCATACTTTTATTCAGTTTTCCTTGGAGGGCTAACACAGGATAAAAGAGAAAAAAGCCACTTCGTGCAATGTGTGGACATGCGAATGCTGGTGAAATTTCCACTGATCCTTTCTCTCCTCCTCATTAATGTTAGAAGTAATCTAAGATCTACTCGTTTATCATTTGTAGGGAAGAAGCCAGAATCTTCTCCACGTTGCAGTAGGGCCAATTTGTATTAAAAAAACCTTCATTTTATAGGACCGAAATAAAATTATGTGAAGGAAGGTGAATGTTCATAAATAGATGATGAATAATAAAGTAAACATCAATTCTGGAGCAACAACAACAACAACAACAACAACAACAAAAAGCTGAAAATACAGCCGTGAACTACTCTATTTTCCACAGCGGGTTCTAAACCCACATCTAGCTATTTTATTTGCCAGTGATAGATGGCTCATCCCTAATGCAAGGTTGAAGTCATTCTTGTCTGTTCTCATGGGTTTGTGTTATTTTCTCTCATTTTCCTGTATGAAATAACCTCAGTGTCTTATTTTTTTTCCCTTGGCTTATTCCCTACCCAGTGCCTTGGTGTATTGTTTATTCTTTGTAGCTCTGCCTTTTTCAGTACTGGTAACTTTGTGATAGTTTTTGTAAGAAGAAAGGAGGATATGAAGGAGATTGAGGAATCATTAAGCAAGACACTTCACAACACACCTTTATTTGGCTTTACAAATCTCCAGTGAGAGTCATGTGGCTTAAACTCACAAGGCAATAAATTTTAAAACAGAAAAGGGATCTGCTGCAGCTGTGTGAGCTATCACATTAGGACAGAAAGCACATGAGAGAGAAGGGAAAAAACAAACACTAGCGAAAGAGATGGAAAGCAATGCTGAGGAAATAGGCTAGAAAGTTGAGTTGAGAATGACCCATCTGTCCCCAGTTTGTATTTTGGGCAGTGAGACAATCTGAAGCACTGTGGACTATCACAGGAAGGCTGGAGCAAAAGCACTCTTTGGGCTCAGTACCCTCAGAAAGAGCAGACAGTGGAAAGAAGAGAGTATGGTGTTGGCACTATGAGGTGGTCCTGCAGTCCATCAGTTTACGAAAACTCCTCCGGAAACTATCATCCAGAAAGGCATACAAGAAAGGGTTGAAGCAGCTGTTGGCATAACTCAAGCTAGTGATGAAATAGGAAATCCCAACAATCTGAGGAGTCTGTGGGATATCTGTGGTGAGGGCCACCACTGTGCTAAGGTGATAGGGTGTCCAGCAGAAGAGACACACAGCCAGGATGACAACCACCATCAGCGTCACTTTTTTTTTTGCTTTACCCAGAGCTTTTGCATTGCTATGAAGATGCACATGTCTCAATCTGCACAACATGATGGTGTAGAGGATGCAGATGGTGGACACTGGGATAGCAAAGCCTAAGATAAGGGTGTAGATCCGACTGCCTTTCCACCACATGATTTCAGGATGAGGGAACACGAAAACACACTGGGAGCGCCCCTGCTCCTTGTGTACCTTAGCAAAGACAGTGAAGGGCAGGATGATGACTGTGACAAAGGACCAGATGCAGAGGCTTAGAATCTTGGCAGCTCGGTAGGTGCGGTAAGACATCTTCCTGGACTTGGTGGTGGCCACTACAACAAGGTAGCGGTCAACACTCATAACAGTGAGGAAGTAGATGCTGGAGAAAATGTTGTACTGGTCTATGGAGATAATGAGCTTACACATGAACTCTCCAAAGGGCCATTGTAGGAGCAGGTAGTCAGCAATGTTGATGGGCAGCACCAAGGTAAAAAGCTCATCAGCAATGGCTAAATTGAGAATGAAGATGTTGGTGACTGTCTTCATCTTTGGGGCTTTGAGGATTACATAGATGACAGCGGTGTTACCTGTCAGTCCCACAGCGCAGATGATGGAATAGATGACAGGCATCGTGATGTAGGAGCTGGGGCTTGGTGGGGAAGTGGGAATATTCAGCTCCTCATCTCCTCTCCTTGCACAGTCTGTGTGCCCAGCCACACACGTAGAATTGAGCTCAGGAATAGAGGTATTTTCCATGGTCACAGCAGAGGGCCTAGACCTGCTGGTAGCGAGAAGTGCTGGGAGAGAAAGGCAAGGAACCTGGTTATTCTCAAGCTTGCTTCCTCAAAGCATCCAACCAACTGGTGTCTTCCCTTCTGCTCCCATGTGTGTCCCACCAGAGATGTCCTGCTGGGAGCAAGGGGACATTGTTGAGAGCTCAGCTGCTGGCAGAAAGTCCCACCATCCAGTTGTAACAGAGACAGTCTCTTCTGACTGTCCTTGACCTCTGCCCAAGCTAACTGGAAAGGTTGCCCAAGGAGGTTGTGGATGCCTCATCCATAGATGCATTTAAGGCCAGGCTGGATGTGGCTCTGGGCAGCCTGGTCTAGTGGTTGGCAACCCTGCCCATGGTTTGAAACTAGATGATTTTTAAGGTCTTTTCAACCCAGGCCATTCTACGATTCTGTGATTCTAAGATTCTAATGGGTTGGGGATGAAGAAGGCAGTGCAGAGTTCTGCACCACCTTAAGGTGACCCACTGCAGGGGTTCTCCAGTCCCTCCCCGAAGTTCCTTTCACAGACGGGTTCAGGGTGACTCTCCCAGGCAGGACTGCCAAGAGCTGAAAAGAGGGGATCTGATGTCTCTAGGATGCTTGGGGCTGAGAGATGGGAAGCGAAGAGCCCCGGGGCCAGGCTAGCAGGATGTGAGGTGGTCGCTGAAGTTTAATGTTGGAAAGTCTTGCTCCGTGCTCGAAAATAATCCACCCCACCCGTTCTCCTGGGGCAGGGGGTGTTAAAAGCAGAGGAAGAGAAAGCTCACCTTTCCCTGGCGGATGTAGGCAGGAGCCGGAGGCAGCCCCGGGTGCACCGATGCGGTTTCTTGGCCGGATCCTAAGCACAGCCGGGAATTAAACGCGTGTTCATCTCGATCTAGGAACAAACAGGCATCGGTAACCGCGGAGAGGAGCGTGCAAAATTCAGGAGCTGGAGCTTTCCCTGGGAGGGGGGGGGGGGGGAGGAAAGGAGTTTGGGGGGCAGTTACCTCAAGTCGCATCCCCTCCCGACGGCGGCAGATCGCAGCACAAGGAAGGTGGGAGCAATCCGAGCTCTAGGTGGCATCTGTCTGTGGTGCGGGGTCTGGGAACGCCGCATCCCCCCGCCCGGTCCCGGGGTGTCCGCGGCTGCGCTCCCTCGGGAGGTGTTGCGCCCGTCGTCTCGATTCCACGGGTGTGGAGTGAAGCGGGATGCTCCGACGGGAGCTCTTATACCTTCGCGCTTTCCCGCTGTCATGCTGAGATAACGGCAGACTTACATGGACCCCCGCGGGAGGCAATCTTTTGTAGAGGGTAATTCAGAGCTCGATTACCTTGTTTTCCCAGAAAGAACACGGAGTATCTGTCTATCTGGCTTCAGCTTTATCTGTTTTGCTGCTTAAAGGAGATTGAATTTCATGAGCTCACAGTGCATCTGATAAAATTTTGCATCACTTACAGTCAAAGTGAACAGTGTCTTTTGTGGTGTGACCGGCAGTACTGACTGCATACCTGAAGCTAATATTGTAGTTCATGCTTTCTTTTGCCAAATAACTTGGCAAAATTCTTCAGTATCTTTGAGCCAGCACCATGAAATGAGAGAGAAACATAGCTCTGACTGTCCCATGCCCGGATACACATTTAGCTGGATAACTGGGATTTCACAAGTATGAGAATTCAAGCGAACCAATCAATGAGTAAATGGATAAAAAATATCGCCATAGAAAACTATTTATCTTTTATTATGTACTGCTTGTAGCTATAAAATAAATGACACATTGCAATACAGAATACACTGTGTGCTCTGTGACTTTTGCCTTCCTTAACAGAAACAGAAAGTTGTTCACATACTTATGAGCTCCCTTGAGAGTGACATAAAATCTAGGTTGCAGGTCTGCCACAGTGCTTTGATCCCTTTTCTGCATACTTTGTACTTCAATAATACAAAAACAAACAAACAAACAAACAAAAACAAAACAAACAAACAAACAAAAAACAGAAGAAAAAAAAAACAAGAAAACATCACCTTTGCACCTTTCTGTCATAACTGTATTGTTAAATATTGGATGCAATCAAAACTCCTGGTGGTCATCTTTGCTTTTGCTCTTTGATTTGGTCTAGAGGGAGGTGTCCCTGCCTTTAGCAGGGGGTTGGAACTAGGTGTTCTGAAAGGTCCCTTCCAACCCAAACCATTCTATGATTCTTAGATTTTGTGATTTCCAGTGATTTTGTGTAGACATTTTCATGAGACCCCTCTTCACTTTTTTATTTACCAGTGTTACCCAATTACAAAATACAAATTTAATCATGGTTAAGCTGATTTAAGTATATTTTTCCACTGTTTTCAGATGTGTCTCTGAAGATCCTCTTTTGTGATCCTCTTTTGTTGTTTCAGAATTGTTTTGCCTCCCCAGAGACTGAAATAGGAGTTTTTATTGAAATCTAGCAACACCATTATTAATATTTTAGATTTGTTTTAAGATTAGCCATGGCAAACAGGAGACAAATGCTGAGCAATGTAGTACAGAACTAATGCAGAGTTTGTGATTCATTTTCTGTAGCTCTAGACAGGCAGAAACTTTTCTTTATAGAGATGTTGGAGGATCTCAGCCACAGTGGGTGCTTATTGCAGTAACATAATGGGTAACCTAGATAAACAAAATATGTCCTTCTGCTCGCAATGACTGGGGAACATCCCTGATGACTACAGAAAGCATGTCATACTCATCTGCAGACAAAACAAGGAAGACAGTCCAGGGAACTACAGACTGATTACTCTCACATCAGTCCTAAAATGCATTTCCAGGGATATGAAGAACAAGAAAGTATGTTGGAGTACCTGTTGATTCTGTTGTGAGAAGACATTGCTCACTCAAAATCAGAGAAGACTGGGGATTATGAGAGAATGGTGGCTGTGAGCACACAAGGTGTGCTCAAGTAGTAATAGTCAGCAATTCAATATCTAATCGGTGGTTGGTCTTTAGTAGCAGTTGTCAGGGATCTGTACTGAGGTTAAAACTATTTAGTATGTTTGGGGACCTGTGTGCTGGGATGAGATACACCCTCAGAAAGCTAATGGATGATAACAAATGAGGGTATCAAATCTGAGAGGTATCTCCTTTCACATGAAGTACAGATAACACTATAAGTTGGGCACTGCCTTGCTAGGAAAGTTCTTCCAGAAAACAATATAAAGCAGGTCAAAAGACTCAGTTTTTTCCATTTCTTTGGCATTTTTGATACTGTGCTGTGTCCAGTTCTGGGCTCCCAGATGCAAACAAGAAAGACATTGACAAAGTGCAGTAAAATCCAGTGGAGTGTCATTAAAATGGTTTGGAGGCATACTACAGGTGGGGAGATATTGAGGGAATTGGATTTGTTCTGGCTGGAGAAGTGTGAGTGGGGGAAACTAATTGCCGTCTCCAAACATATGAATGTGGGTCATGGAGAAAACGGAGTAAAAATCTTTTAAAGCTGAAAAAGAGTAGTGTGACAGCAGTTGCAAATTACAAGTTCTGACTAGATGTAAAGAACAGGATTATTTGCAGTGAGAGTTACTGACTTTCTGAATGCTGCTCCTTATCTGGAAGTACTCAGAACTCAATTGGACATGGCCCTGAACAACCTGATCTAGTTTTGAAGTTGACGTTAGTTTGAACAGGGAATTAGGTTAGATGATCTTCACAAGTTCATCTAAACTAAATTATTTTGTGATTCTGTGGTTCCACCATATTCAAATAATATTTTAAGCCTTGAAAGTCAGACACTGCCTAACAAATCACATAGTAATTAAAAAAAAAAAAAAAAGTTTTTTAGAGGAGACTACAAGTTTTTGATGCAGTTGAATAATTTAAAATGACCAAAAATGATGTAGCACAACTCAGTATAAATTTCCTTTGAGAGAGAACAGAACACCTATTGAATAATTAATGTCTAAACAAACCACTCAGCTGTCTGAGAGGCAGTGTTTACCACAGGGCTACATTCATAAAATGATCACTGAATGAACTTCAGCTTGCAGTGCTATGTGTTTCTGAGATCTATACTCTGATAGAATTCCTATGGTGGTTTACACAGTCTCGGTGTTTTTTCTTGTTTTGTAACTGGTCCCATTTTGTTGAAATAGATAGCAAGGTTTAGGTATGTGGGAGGGAAATCTTTAAGAATGAAGTAGACAAAAAAAAAGTTCCCTTTATGTTTTATGTAAAGAAAAACCTAATAATTGTTTACATTGTAACATGCTTTAGCTGAACTTATGGAGCACAGAGACTGAACAAGCAATGCATCAAAAAACTAATTTAATGTCCTAGAAAATGTATTCTACATTCATTTCTGTCCCACATACAAAACCTTTCAAGGTTATTTCTGTATTAACTAGCAATTTTTATTATATCTATCTTAATATTTAATATTATATCTCAATCTTAGTATATTAAAAATTCACTTAGATTCATTTAGAGCCACGATCATCTTCCCTCTTTGCTTTAGGAGTTTGTCATCAATACAGAAGTTGTATTAATATAAGTCAGCAAGATATGACTGGGGGTACTAATATTTATATTCCTGCTTACTCTACAGGCCTATTACACGTCAAAACTAAACTGTAAAAATCTACTTTGTACGTGCACTGGTCCCATACAAGTCTTCCTGTGTTCATTTTTATTGGGAAATAACTGTGTAGATGAAATATGACATGAATAGAAATCATTATTCTTAGAGCAATTAGAGGAGAGTGCACTTCCAGCATGCAATGAAACATAACAATCTGAAGGATTATAATAGATGAGGGCTATTCTGAAAGTAATGCCTCCGATTTTATAATTTTGGTTCATGACATCAAGGGTGGTTGGTGGTGCTATTGCAGTAAGGTGAAACATTCCCACCAACATTCCCTTACATTTTGCTGCCATGTGATGGATGGCAGCAGAGGGGCACTCTGACAAAATGATGCCTGACAGAAAAGTGTGACGTTGAATTCCTCCACGTGGAAAAAATGGCACTCAC